TGCAGTTCTTGGTCTGCGGTCAACTTCTCAATATTATCGATATGATCACATAAATGGACGAGATGTGTTCCTCCTGATATTGACCTCGTTCCACACTTTTGGACACGCCAAATGAGTTTCTGTTGAGCTGTCAATGGAAGGTTCAACCAAGCCCGACTAAACTTACATCCATGACACTTTGACGCAAAAACATGACATAGCCTAGCCCAGTTCCGTAACAAAGAGTCTCCATGGCGGCTGGCCTAGTTAAGGTCCAAGTCGCACAGCTTACGGTCCCTCGTGACTCGTGGTGATGAGACGAACAGGTGAGTTCTTTCTGAGCATTGATATTTTAAAGTTTGACGCCCTCAGTGCCTGGTTATTTGTCAGTGCTGCCCCTCCCCTCCGGAGTGATTCATGATGTTACTTACCGCCACATGCCAGCACTTGCCCATCATTAGAAATTGCGAGCGTGTGGACAGACCCGCTGAAGGCAGTCAGACGAGTAAGAAGCGTATAGCACTGATTTGATTTTGCCCTGATCCATTTAGTAAAGGAAGACATGTTGAGTGTAATGTGAGACACTGTCGTCGCCCACTTACAGTGTCTTTATTGGCTTCTTCTTATTCTTTGTCTTTTAATATGCACGATCGCAGTATGGTTGTTCATTGTCTTTTTTATCCATACTCTTGGTAATTGTATTCATTGTTCGACGGTCTCAAATGCGACACGGCGAACTCATTATTAAACGATCGGATCCGGGACGGTATTTGTTGGTGAAGCGAATAAAACCTTGTCTGCATTGATTCAAAGTGAATGTGAGCTTGTCGTTTTTTTCCGACTTATGTCCCGAACTGCTCATGGTCATGTGGGCACCCTAATGACGGCATGATAAGCATTATATCTACCATTCTGGTTGGTTGCATTCAAACACAATCATCCTTCGATCACCTAACTCGACACAAAGAGCCTCGATAACCACTTCCAATTCAAGATCCGGTTTTTCTCTAAAATACATTTTGTATTGCGTGTAGTACGTAAATAATAAGTGATAATTGTTTTCACCCAATATGGCTGCAGCTGAGGCAGCAGTTCAGGGTTCAATACCATAAATCATTTTCCGTTTACATCGTGTATCATATGTAACACTTTCACAACTGTTCCCCCTTTCTGTGACCAAGAGCAGTCTGGTGCTTCACTACTGCTCCCCCTAATACTTACAGACCAACTCGAGCGCTCGGCAGCCTGATCCATCGCCCATTATTGCCAAAGAAATTATTATTTCTGTCGTAAGGCCACTACCCGCACCACTTACCCAGAGTTCAAAATAGCAAAGCGGTCGCACAAGCCTTCTAATTGCTCTCCCTCTTCATACCAAAGAGGGTCGCTCGAACTCGCTCTTGTCCAATGACGCCTAGTATTCATTCGGATTCATGAGACTCTTCGATTATCCAGACCAACAGCTGCAGCCAAGCAACACTCCTCCAGGATGATGTCTTTTCGTCACAGTGAATTGGGAAATGTCTTGATGGCACCTACAAAACAAGAAGTTCGCTTTGGAAGTGAGTATGTTATCATTCTCTTCCTTTATCAGTACTAAGTATTTCTCGAGGGCATGGACGAACATGGTATTTGTTACATTGTTGGAGCAAAACGCCAAGGGGTGAATTATCTCCTTGCAGTCTGATCACCGCACCTACTGACGAGACATCTAGATCATCTATCGAGCAGGATGTTAATGTACTTCCCTGCATCAGCCTACTCATCAAGGAATAATTATTTGGCAGTCTGTACGCTTGTTTCATTGGAACGATGCAATTCATTTCCATTTATCTCTTACATTCAGAGCAAAAGGAGATTCTAATTTAATCGCTGTTCAACATGCGTGTCGTTAATCACACTGAATTCAATCGCGTAAGATGCTTTTCAGCATTTTTGTGATCAGCTAATCTTTCTCGTGGAAATCTGAACATTGAACCTCACAACGCCTGTTGAGATTTTTCTCTACCCCGACCAGGCAAGTTTTCCTTTTATGCCCATTTCTGATATTGAATAGATCGCACATAATTCAGCATCCTCAACTCTCAGACAATCTTCCCTGTGCGAGTCTGAACGTTTTTCTTGCGCAACGACCCTTCTCTGTGTAAGTCTCAACACTTTCAAGCCTTACACGCTGAATCTCGCAGTGCTCGTTCAGCTGTTCTCCCCGCTGTAATCGTGCAACCATCTCGACATTTTCGAGACTCATTCAGAGGCAAGTCGTTCTTGCGCAAATCTGGACATTCTTACCCACAACGATGCTTTTCTAGCTTTTCTAGCCTTTCCCCCATTGTCATCAAGCAAATTTTATGTCAGTCTGGACATTCTTCTTACACGCTGAAATGTTACGATCCTTCTGATTCTAAATAGATGGCACATAGTCTTTTTTTCATACAGCATCGGTACGCAAAAGAGACAAGGAGATCGACTTATGGTAAGTTTGCGTCATATGCTCAGCATGTACATTGCTTTCCAACAAGCCAAAGCACCGGCGTGATGGCTTTGAGGGCATCAAAAACACTCAACTTCCGTCCGCTGTCAAGTTAAACTTTTCCGACGATATGCCATCGTCTACGAGTCGTGGACCTAACCACCTGAGAAGTTGTGCTCAGTCGTCTTGGTACAAAATACGAGGCAGATGCATGCATGTCGCCAGGAGTGCAAGGTTGACGGGCTGTTGGGTGAGTCTGTTTTGATTGAGTGATGGTTGACGCTTTTCAATATTCATTTGCAGCCGTGGTTCAAAGCTTAGCTTCAATATTCAATTTTGAGCAGTGATTTGCATAGAATGTGACGTGCTGATCAGTTCTGTTAAACATTGGCATTCACCCCACCCTACTAATTAATGTGGTTTATGTACCCAACATCATGTATAATTCCTCCCCTACTTGTATGAAGCTGTCTCTGTATTATATTCACGAAGTTATGCATGCTGTAGTTCTCCAGCATGCAGCAGCCCTATACTTTGTTATGATATTTAGAGGCTCAAGCCAACCCTACTTGAGGTGTAATCCATAATTGCTGTTTCGCTAAGTACAATATTTACTGGTGCTGATGGACCGCAGCCATCGTAGTGTATATGTTTCGATTTACACTCTATTTGTTTCTCCTGCTAGTTTGCGAGCTCCGTTGCTCACCCAGGGTAGTTCTGCAGGTGCACACACACTTGAACATCATCTGCAACAAAACTGCATATAGAGTGAACAAGATTTTTTGTAGTCCTGCTTGATTCGCCTTGCATACTGACGCGCTTGATTTCAGAAAAGGCCCCAATCCAGGACGCAGATAATTCCTGGAGCTACGATGAGTATGGAAGGTCACTTTAAACAAATATTAATCACCAGCGGATCCCCTTCCGAACTAGCACCCGACCAGGCTGAAGCTCCTGGTGAGTGGTACAATATTTCTAATTGTCCGATTGGGACCGCACAATGAGTTCCTGGATGACATATCATTGTCGACTGATAATGACCCTGCACGGGTAATTGAATTGCGAGATATCCGACACTGTTGCAATGCTCAAGGCATCGCAAAATGGTAGTCATATAATCGGGCGACGCGTCGTCAGACTGCAACGAGATATCGAGGCACTCGAGGGACAGTGATTTACGATGCTGTCGAAGGATAGGAAGGACGTGAGTCAGAGGTCCACCCAACACAGACATAGTAGGGATGATAGGAGCGGTGACCCGAGGCATCCTCCAAGACACGGCAGGTTGTGGAATAATACGCAGAGTTTTTACGCTAGGATGGCTGGCCAGAAAACGAATCAATGTGCCCGGTGAAGGTTCAACGATACAGCGAGGCACGAACAATGCTCCTGACTGTATCTATAATTGTTGTAAGGTCGTGTGTTGCCTAGTCTGCTATACTTGAGACGACAAGTGCATTCGACCCTAAAGGGGAAGCGAGTGCAGCAAGGATCTAGAGGTATGCGCTGAAAGCGCTACTGGTTGGCCAATGCGAAGCGCGAGAATGCGCGAAGCGCGGGAATGCGCGCGCGTGTATGCGGAAACAAGAGAGAGTAAGAGTGAGTTTGCTTAGGTGATGATATGATGTAAGACAAGAGAAGGGAGATGCAAGGTGTAAACAAATAGATTTCTACTATGTTCTGCTAGGTAAATAGTGGGTAGTAACCAGTAAGTCCTCTGTCGTTCTGGTGGGAGAGTAAGTGAGTAAGTAAGTATGTACTGCTGGCGCTTAAGTATGGCGCCTAAGCGCTGTCATGCGGAGCCGAAGCGCTACCGAGTAAGGTATGTAAAGATATATGTAAGTAAGGGTCCATGATAAAAATAAAGATGGAATGATCAGCAAATGTGAGAAATGGAAATATACGCACTAGGGAACTTGGTGGACAGTGGATGGATGCTTCCGGATGGCTGGCGCTATAGGGCGCTACAGCGCGGGAAAGCGCGCGCGCATATACATCGTGAAGCGCGGGAAAGGTACGCGCGCATGGCGCGCGTTGCGCGGGAAAGCTGCGCCTCATATAGAGATAGCTGCAGGTAGCACACAGAGTGATGCTACAAGTTCGTGCCATGTACTCCCCAGTGAAAACTGCCATATTGCACAATGAGAAGCATGAGTCTCTACACCGGTGCACAATCAGCATCGACTTGTAATTCGATGAGCATCGGCATAGATAAATACCACAGGAGTTTGTCCCAGTGCGCAGGGCTGAGACCCACGCGACGTAATGCTAGCTTCTCCAATGAGGATGAATGAATTGTCTGCATCGTGAAAGGAAGGAGCTGAGGGGAAAAGAATGCTCACGATGATGCATCAAAACATTTCAGGCCATTTGAACATGGGTGCGCAGCAATTTTAGTGAACCCACTAATGGATGATGAGCCCGTTTCAAGGCAGAATGCCATGCAGGTGAGCTCTTTGCAGCCTGAAGCACGAACATTCTCAAAAAAATTGGTTATCTGGGGAAAAATGGGGGAGGCGAGAATGTCGAAACTCCAGAAAAGCGTGATAAATCATATGGATTTCCGAGGGACGGATTGCAGGAAGTGCAAAAATGTAGAAAGTTGTGCAGGTTGCACATCAGCCTCAATCCAGCACAAGAGCATACATGGTGAACGAAAATTATACATTCGCCTCCAAGTCATCAACACATCAAAATTAGGCGAGTCGACACGCAAGTAACATGTGTCCTGTGGGGAGGTTGAAAAGTTTCTGTTGGCGAAGAATGGAGGGCCGGAGACCTCCCTCAGCAGAGAAGAAACTTGGGTAAGAGTGTGTAGATCTCGCACTCCTAGTAGACTGGCGATAGAGCTGAGGATTTCCACGGGTAGTGACCAGATGAAAGTTCTTGCATTAGGCGGCAGCTCACAAAATTTTGCGCATTTGATCGTAAAGGGGTCTAGTTGAGCATCTGCTTTACGCTTCAAAAAAATGTCTGACTATCCTGTGGATTAGTGGAGATAATCAATGTTTTTGTTTTGGCTTACTGCCTCCCTATACAAGCACTTTACAGTAGGGCTAGTAAGATCCGTGTTGTGACGAATCGTTTTTGTGGGCTACAACTTCGTTAGTGCTGATAAGTCAATACTTGAAATAAGCATTTACCGTGGCAACAACCAGACGCACACCGTCTGTGGAAAATGATTCAAGTATTTGTTGCTTCCGAGGGGTTTCCGGGTCAGAAAATTCAATTTTGCGCTTGATTGAGATTTAGTACACGTCTGAGTCAAATATAAAGCACACGCAGTTACCTTGACAGGGTGCTCATTGCGCCCAGGCGGCAGAACGAGTGATGCAAGTGCCTTGCTGTCTCGAGTGGCAGTATCCTCTTGAAATCGAGCTGAGGGGCTAATATCCTGCAGAGCAGAAGTTGAGAAAAGAGGTTGGTTTTCGTGTAAACACGATTGAATCAAAAAATAGTTGAGTAATAACAAACGAATGAGAGGAAATAAGCATACGCGCCGATGAACATCTGAGCAGAAACTTTGTTGACTAGAAATATAGCTTATCATGTTTCCCATCACGTTACGGTAATAGAAAGGCTTGAAAGTTTGGACTCAACAAACCGCAAAAGCATTCGCTTTAACTCGCTCTGAGTAATTGTTTTCATCAGCGAAGAACGAACAATAAAGCCTAACGTCTGATCCCGGGGCGGGGCAATTGAACACTAAAGTTTGTCTGAATGAATCAGGGAAAATGAAATTTCGAATATGAGCCTAGATCGGAACAATAGAAGACAAGCCAACAGTTGCGAATTCGCGGAATAATTGCCAGGCATTCCTCGTTTGGCCACGCCATTGAGTCTAATCTCCACAAGAAGCGAATTCGGACCTCGGTAGCTAAGCCTACTAATGACACCGTATTGTATCATCTTTATAGAGTGACTCACTAGTACTCATTGCCCGTCACAGTTCGCCGTCCTTCATATTGTATTGTGTTTCATGAAAACAATTGTTGAGTGCTCTTGGGTGGTTTCCAGGCAAAGAACAAAGTGAGCAATTCAGCAAGTCAGATGGGTCTACCTAGTATTTGTTTGACCGGATAGGTAGGGCAACAATTGTGCCGACCAAACTTCTTGTGTTCATACTCAAGATGACGTAGCTGTGTAATTTAAGATGATCAAAAATCCAATGTTCACAACGATTGAAACCTACCTGGTATCAGCATCCTCGTTCGTCCAAACTATTTCCTGAATCCGACAGCTTGGATAGCGTCAAGATAAAACCCTTACCACCTGCCACCACGGACCACATATGGAGCCAGAAGACATACAAACCGCCTGTGAGGGAGATTTGTTTGACCAAGAAGAAACAGACAGCAATATGAGCAGTACCGAGAATTTTATGGATGCTGGTCTCAATCAACCCTCAGCCAATCCAATACAAGTCAATGATGCAGAAAATTTTGACCATGTACAGGAGAACAGTGTTGTTCGACCCTCAGATAGCGTGATACGAGTCAACAAGAGGGAAATAAACGATGCACAGGAAGAGCAAGTGGTATGTTTTATCGTACAAATCAAGTTTGTTGACAGGCTCATAGAGTTCACACAGCCCTCCGGGAAGCGTCGGTATCAAGAAGTCGATTATTCAAAGATGCTGCGTAAAACAGTGTATGAACAAGAAGAACGGGTCAACAAAATGAAGCGTAAATTGTGTGACAACAAAGTAGTACGTACTAAAGGCTCGACAGGAGTATTGCTGCTGATTAGTGACAGTTGTACGAGCAAGTTCAGCTCGAGATCCAGGAACAACAATGTCTTGCTGAAGAAGATCGTGCACGCCTCACCCATGATGTCAACAAGACGATTCAACAATGAAAAGCGGCCCTGACAGAGCGAGACACGCGACTGAGCAAAGTTTATAAAGAACTCGAGGTAACTTGTAGACCAGTTTAGCCAGATGTGGGCTAACCAAAGCAACAGGAATCCCGTGCATGACAACAGGAGCACAATAATCAAATCAAACAAAGTAGTGAAGCACTCGGCCTAAACAATCATAAGCAGACGGAAGTTGACATACAGACGATGCTGCAGGATACTCACCAAAGATATGCACAGCAACTCGAGCAGTGGGAAGCAGAAGTCACCTTGGAGTTGGCGCGACGCGAAGCAGAGCTAAACGCAAGGAAAGACAAAGAGGTGATGAAGGGAGAATGACTGCCACAGGAAATTGCTGATAACATCAAATAGTTTGAAGAACGCGAGAAATGCATGATTGACCACATGGAACAAAGGCTACAATTGGAATTAAGAAAATTCAAGGTGAGAATTTGATCACATGAACCTCGTGAGTCATAACATAAATGCTGAAAAACACTTTAGGCAGAAAAAGAGAGCAAACTTGCCAACATGGAGAGACGATTTGCAAGACGTGGTCGACAACAAGGAGACGCGGAAATGAACGCGGATCCCGCCCCTAGGAGCGCTCAACAGCAACCCAAGATGCCGCAAAAATTCTTGCCTAGAACACCATGCCTCGACTCAATCAAAAGGATCAAGAAGACACGTGGAACATCGCACAGGACGTGCCTAGTGTCACTGGTAGCAGACGTAAGTAACATATACAGCGACTCGAACTGGTTTTTAACATGGAACACATAGGATGACCCTATGGAAGGACGTACAGAAGAGACACCTACCATTGAACGAGAGATACTGCAGTCACAACTGGATGATGCTTTCCCTATGTCCATTATGGAGAGTTCAGTCTCCAAATGCGTAGAAGCAGCATTGAGACGAATATTCATCGATAGAGAATTCCCATTGGCCATGAAGCGTAGTCCCCGAAGGAAAAAGTTGGAGGATCAAGAACTCCAGACGGAACAGGCTGCAGAACTGAACCACGAAAGAGACTTCCTCCTCGTAAGCCAAAACTCCACATTGAAGTTTTCTAACTGAGAAGAAGCAGGCTGAAGTCCGGCGTGTCTTCAAGGACCATTTCGAAATCTCTCAAGACAGTGATTTTATAGTCCACCAACCAGCTATTCGTGAAGATGTGTACTCGTACGAACATGAAGATGGACTGGGCCCCGACCCAAAAAAACTTGCATTTGATCTTGCAAACAGATCGAAAACCCTCTGGAATGCTAAAGTTCTTGATCTCCTGCTTAGGGAATTGCAAGAAAGGTGTGTACAAGAGGGGTGGCCTTTCCAGAGATCGGATAGGTACTACAAAGCGATCATAGAGGAACGCTACAAGCAGTTGCGGACTGTGTGGAAAGCAGTGCAACCAAAGGTAACAGAAAGGGGGGTACTGGAGACTGCTGTGGAGGTGGAGGATAGGTTGAATACAAAGAAAGACGAAACTCTTAAGACAGTTCGTCAATCAACTCGTAGGCGAAATGTAAGCCCACAGTCTCAAGTACGCTCAGATACCCAACACCTCCTTACTAGAAATATATCCGAAGAACGACAGTTCTCAAACATCTCATCGACCTGAAGAACGACCAAAAGGATGAGGACCTCCAGGTGTTACGCTGACCGTCGGTTGGCGTGTGCGAACTAGGATAGGTCTTCTCAGCGACGACTCAAGTGAGTCTACTGAAGCTGAGGGTGGTTCTCGGCTTGACGGAACATCAAGGGTTCCTCTGGCGATCTCGGTAAGACGGCGCTCGTCGAGATGCAGGGCTAGCGGATACATGCTAAGTCGTTAGGGGGCGACTTAGAAGTGCGGTCTTGCGCAAGGAAGCTGGTAGGCTTAGTTGAACAAGTTCTGGGATGAACCTAGTAGATAAAAGTAAAGTCTAAGTACAATAATCTGTCTACTTATAGGGTCTAACTATAAGTGTTCAAGCTCAGTCTGTAATCTATAGTATATCTAGGATCTATGATAACAAGACATGAGGTCAGATAAGATACATGAGGCTTAACCTCTGATCAAGCATGCAGCGCCAAGTGCGACTGCGCGTAGGTACAGGAAGCGCCAAGAGCGCTCCGGATCTTCATGAAGCGACATGCTGTATACATGCACTTGATCTAGGGTGACCATGAGGCATACAGCCTCCATGGATCAGGTACAAGGCCGTCTAGGCCAGGGGCAGGGTCACAGCAGTCCAGACCACTGTCTTTCTAAGTGCAGGCGGCGCAGCGCCGCATGGGGAGTCTAGCAGAGCGGGGGCTGGCGTAGGCAGAGCTGGGGCTCCTGTAGGTGTTACGGATGCCTGTAACACCAGGCCTGGCAGTGGCTTCAAAGACTAGTGAAGACTCTTGGAGACGGTGGAATGAGCTCAGAAGAGAGCGATGTGGAGAACAAGTTCGAATGTGTGCTCTGCGTCAAGAACATGGAGTGGCATCGCGGGATAGAACAAGAGCTCAATATCGTGGATCATCAAAGGTTATTGGACAATAATATTTTCGCACCTCAGGGTTCAAAACCACTGAAAAGAATTCACGCACCCGGTAATCCGAGGACAACACGAAAACCGACCGTAGGATTACCTGAGATCCTCTATGACAGCAAATGGCTTGCTGGTCTTACTGAGCGTGAGGTTGAGAGGCTGGAAATGACGAATGAAACATTTAAATGGATGAAAGTAGTAGTGGCATAAAATATGTACACAGTCAGATGGAATGCTGTGCCTGCAAGGACGAGCCAGTATAGTGTGAACCATCAAAGAGGAACAGTATACGCCTGAGGCTGTAGAAAGGACGCGGTGAAGGTACAACAATTCAGATAGTGAGTCTGAACAATGTTGGGTCTTGCAGAACCTAGCTGCTATTCGACCCTAAAGGGTTTCTGGACCAGGCTCAAGGCTCAGAGGAGAGGAAATGTCATAAAAACTTGCTAAAAACTCAGACTCATACTGGTAACTGGTGAAAAGGTAACTTGATTATGTAAGCTACAAAAGTGCAAACATAACACTAAGGTAAAAACAGTCTCTGCAAGCCCAGCCAGAAATGAATCCCTACAGCGGGAAAGCGAGGAGACGAGGACCATGATAATTAGAATAGGTAGAAAGAGTGAGATGAACTGCGAATGCGATAGTGAGGAGAGCAGAATATACTTTTGCCTGGAATTTGGGAATGTTGTGTGAGCCAACTTGGACGGATGCGAGATATCTATAACAGTTTGGAACTGTTGATCAAGTTACTAATGATAGTAAGATAGTAACTAACCATGTGCCAGTCGCCCACTCATTCTGTGAGTACCACTAGTATCATACTTGTCATATCAATTTCATTCTCCCTTAGACTTGTTTATCCCTGTGCTGTCTCTATGATAATACCTCCCTGTGCTGATGCATTTTTAGTTGGACTTCGAGCAGCCCTGCATATCAGTGGATGCTCACCTGGTCTAAGTTGCAATCTGCCTCTCTCTGGACTTACCAAGACTCCTGCGACAGCCCCAGACCCCCCTGCTACATTGTCCTTCAATTCGCCCCAAACTGACCATTTGTTAGTCTACAGGCACTGATGCTACCTGCTCGAGATAGGTTTCTTAGAAATCCCCTACACAACACGCTTAGCACAATTGACAATTTCCGGTCGAACCCGCTGCATCTGACCTTGCGTGTCAGCTAAGAGATTCTGCTCTCCAGCATCCTGCAGCACTGCACCGTTGCCAGGTGGCCCAGTAGTTACCATGCACTGGCATAATATAGAATCATGGTTAACAAACCATAGACTCGCAATGCTATTGATATAAAGTTTGTCAGCGGGCTGAAGAAGCTAAGGTACGAAGGAATGAATTATCACCCTGACAATGTGACCAGAGCTAGTTGGTTCGTTATCCATTGCAGCCACTGGAAATGAGTTCTTTCTCATCATCTCATGTCCGCGATTTACATCCTGTCATAGTGTCAGCCGGTAAGAGACGTTGGTCTTAGGCATTCACAGAGCCTCATCTTATCCTCAATGTACATGTAGTCAGCAACACGCGAAGGTACACCGTCAGTGCGGTAAAGACCATCCAAATGATCATCATCAGACGCCACGTCGATTCATATATCTGAAGTGTTGGTATAGCGGCATGTGTTACAGTCATCCGTAACACCTACACCAGCCCCCGCTCTGCTAGACTCCCTACGCGGTGGCGTGCCGCCCGCACTTAGAAAGACAGCGGTCTGGACCGCTGTGACACCGCCCCTGGCCTAGACGGCCTTGTGCCTGATCCATGGAGGCTGTACGCCTCATGGTCACCCTAGATCAGCGCATGCATACCACATGTCGCTTCATGAAGATCTGGAGCGCCTCTCGGCGCCTCATGTATCTGCGCAGTCGCACTTGGCGCTGCATGCTTGATCAGAGGTTAAGCCTCATGTATCTTATCTGTACTCATGACCGCCCTCATGTACTCTCATCTTTGATAGACATAGATCCACAGATATACTATAGATACAGACTGAGCTTGAACACTTACATGTAGCACATATAAGTAGACAGATTATTGTACTGTGATCTTTACTTTAATCTACTTGGTCCAACCCAGAAACCTGTTCAACTAAGTCTTCCAGCTTAGTTGTCTAGACCGCACTTCTAAGTCGCTCCCCGCGCCTTAGCCGTATCTGCTAGCCCTGTATCTCGACGAGCGCCGTCTTACCGAGATAACCGGAGGAACCCTTGACGTTCCGTCAAGCTGAGAACTACCCTTAGCTTTGGTCAGGCTCACTCGAGCCGTCGCTAGAAAGACCTATCCAAGTTCGCACACGCCGACCGACGGTCAGCGTAACAGCATGTTCAAATAGCCTAGAGAAGAATGATGAACTCACGGGATTCCAACGGCATCCTGCCGCACCAACTGATTGCACAGAAAGATGGATCGAACTCACCCGATAAATTCATGGTCAATATGCACTGAAATGAAATGTTTCAGTGAAATTACAGGATCGATTAACAGATCACCTTACATGACAGCACATGTTCCTTCCTCCAGGAAAGACCCCAGCGACGAGGGACAGATTTAAATTAAGTAGGTACATGCGTTCATTTGTGTTCTATTATCTCATGAGCAAGAATAAGGGGGGGCAGGGAATTTGAGTGTTTGAAGGTACTGAGAACTTGGCATGATTCAAAGGACTAGTAGGGCTTGGTTAGAGTCACCCAGAGAAGCACTGAGGAGGAACGCACCTAGACCGATGGCGAAGATGTTGACGCATCCTAAGGAACTCTGGCAGTATCTTCATGAGTGTTGTGCATCAAGCTAATTTAGCACTCGTTGGATGGGGAAAATGACAGAAGGACTCAGCCAACCGTTCACGTTAGTCCATCGCAAAGAAGTTCGCCACCAGTGAACAGTGAATGCATTACATTTGACATCATATAGAGAGATAAGTGAAGTTATTAGGTTAGGCTGGTGCTCTTGACACACCTTCAATCAACACCGAGCATTCCAGCATTGCTCAAATATGAGATGAAACTATGATTGAGCTAAAGTCAAGCAGTAGAGTATTGAGAAAAATGGTCAGTGGCATAGAAACTCTGGTGATGCGGAGAATATATCTGGAGATCAAATTATTACCATTGTCACGGTTGTGATATGTTGCAATTGCTGTCAGTGAGATAGAGAAATGGTCCAAAACCTTCAGACAAACACTGATCAGTATAAACTAAGTTGCAGCATACCTTCGTGGCCATCGGAGTGGCAATGGTATTCAAAAGCCATAATGCAGTCAGCTCTTTCTACCGACTTCTGAAACACGTTCGCTAACCCACCTTCCTAGCAATCCCTCATTGGGCGCCGATTATACCGTTCAGTCCAAACAAGTCAATGCATCCCAGTCTGGGATTAGTTACTCGATTGAGACTGACTGAAACTGAGTATCAACTTGAATAGGGATGAAATGTACGGCGATTGGGAGGGGATCGTGCACCCATCCGGTGTCATGTACTATTTTTCCGACAAAACGGTGAGGAAATCATAATTGTGTTTAACTCAGTGTGTCTTACAATCGCACAGAAGACATATACGGGAACCGATATAAAGAGATACCCGCACGATCGACTACGTAGCCTAGATAACTGGATAGATGCAGCATGCAGAAGACTGCAGGAAGATACCTGGCTCCTGGTGGTCGAGCCCGTTTCAAAGCAGGACGGCGATTACTATGAATACTACTGTGCAGACACAAAGCAGCACGTTATTGCTTGGTTTAATGCGTTTGACGCAAGTCTACTTTTTCAGGAGTGCACGTTCGCACGGGAGTGGAACCATAAACGTAAGTTTCAACTCTTGCCAACATGATGTGCTGTCTGACTCAAATACATAGGTCTTGAGCTTGAGGCACAATTTTGGTGATAAATATTAGTCGATGAAATAACACTTGGATACTGATATGCATATATATTAGGAAGCATGTCGATTTCTTTCCACATCATTACGAAATGAGGCCTTCTGATGCGAAGGAGCTACAAGCTCACTTAGAATGGTTTTTAGCAGGTAAGAGTCTAAGACATCCTCATGCAGATATAACTGAATTAAACGCGCATTATAGAAGGACTGACCTTGGAACAATCGACTGCAGCTTCGTTGTTTCGCAATAACGAGCAAACGGAGAAGATAATATCTCATATTGTTCGATTCGGTACGTCACTCAATTATGATAGCACTTTATTTTCGGACGGAATTGTGCAGAGAGTCATCTTTCATCCAATGATTTCATGACAGAGCAAGGAGTAGCATTTTGTGGTACGTCTGCTTTGTCCAGTTATACGATGAAATAAGCGGAAACCCACCTCAAAATTGATAGGAAGGATATGGAGCATCTTACGTAGGTTTTTTGTGGCTGACACAGCTAAGTTTTTGCATTAACTTATAAAATAAGGCCACCATCAATTTTTAAACTACTACAGTTTACCGGAAGCTCGGTTGATGTGGTCTCATTCTGTAGAGGGCATCAAGCAAAAGCGAACACTTCCCCTTTTATTGGCAACTGCTGCAATGTTTGGAATGCCAGCACTTGTGTTGGACCATATAGAAAATATCCATGTAGACGGTATCATCAACTTGCTCGATATCAGGCAGTTCATTGACCATTTCAACAACGATAATGTGAAATACAGCACTTTGGTATGTGCATTTTCCCATATTGAAATCGGAAAGATGTCCAAATTTATGTCTTCCATTATCGAGGTGGGTGTTATCATGGCGGTAGATGCTAGCATACTCGCTATTCCAGATATTGGATCTCAAGCGATAGCAAGGACCCTATGTTCTCTTTCCCTTATTTTCAGTGTCCATTGCATATTCGCAGGTATCGTTGCTCGACACTTCAGTGAAAAGATGAAGTCTCTGGATTTTGCTGTATGTGTTATCTACTACGATTGTCTCTATCTGATCTGATACTGCATTCATGTAGTCTCAGCATCTCAATGACAATCGTACCAGGGTTGCGGTCATCTACAGCGCTCCTGCTCTATTATGAACCACCAGGTAATTAACATATTATAAGGCACAAGATGCGCTAATCATAAGCCGACAGTGTGGCTTTCTCTACTTTAGGCTTTCTCGCAGGAATATTCACAATCCCAGGCCATTCTTTAACGACAATAGTTTTATGCACGATAGCCGTCGCCATCCTAGGAGGTTTCCTGTTCTGGTCGTCAGCCATCATATTCTATCAGCATCCGAGATGAGGACGAGATATACTAAATACCAATATGCCACATCACTTGTAGGAGAACACGATTATGATCAGGACGATGATGTCGCAAATGTCTGTATACTTACTGCAGACCTCTTGCACCTCTTGCAAATGTGCTGCTGGTTGATTTAGACAGACCTTGGCGATAATATTAATGACCGTCAGTTGTGATTGAAGCTAAGAGGATATGATTAGTGAGCCCAAGTCCTCCCCCGCTCTCATTGAAAAATCGCTTCAACATCCGCGCTGCGGCGAAGACTTACTATTACACATAAAACAAAGGGGGGGTTATCATTCGTTCAGTATTGCAGACCGCTAGCTATGTGATATAAAACGTCAAACTTGAAATCATTTTCTCTGGTCATGGTCAGGTACCTTCTCTGACCAACTTATCCTTTTGCGCAGAACGTTATACAAATGCGTAGCGGAAATGGATTGGGCATCTGTAATATGGACGAGCTCGCAAAAACCAGTAAGGTCAATATAATCGACGAACATTGCTATCTTGGTTGTAAGCTGTGACTTCACTTCAATCTCATGGCGGACGACAGCTTCATAAACTACAAATGTACGATACATGAGTAGGCTAATCATTTGAGGTCATAATGCTAAGTTGCAGTAGAAATCGTCACATTTGCCACAAGCACCAGCAGCACCTTCTCCTTGTTCAGCTGCCATTCATTTGAAACATTTGCTCCAGTATCACTCTCGCAATGCAATCTGCTAGGTTTGACCACAGAGACCCACTTATTATTGTCATGCGATTTAGGCACAGTGTTAAAAACAATGAATCATGAAGTTGGTCATGAATGTCTCGTGTATCTTTTCCACAGAGACATGATAGGAATCAGGGAGAGCAAGTCATCATCGTTTCTACCAACGATCGACACAATTGAGATGCAACAGACAAGAAGTGGGGGGTGGTGTCCTAATTATATAGTACAATGGTAAAACTAAACACAAGGCACAAGCCCCGGTGTGGTTGTACAGGTAGACAGAGCTAGAGTCAATGATGAAATTTATGTACTGTAAAGCGCACGCGTTTTTGGCTGCAAATAAATATTGAAAAATGTCAAACATCATTAAATCAAAACAGACTCACCCAACAGCTTGTCAACCTTGCACTCCTGGCGACATGCATGCATCCGCCTCGTATTTTGTGCCAAGACGACCGAGCACAGCTTCTCAGGTGGTCAGGTCCACGACTCGTAGATGATAGTGTATCGGGTGGAAGGTTTGTCTTGACAGCTGACGGAAGTTGAGTGTTTTCGATGCCCTCAAAGCCATCGCGCTGGTGCTTTGGCTTGTCAAAAAGCAGTGTACATACTGAGCATATGACGCAAACTTACCATAAGTCGATCTCCTTGTCTCTTTTGCGTACCGATGCTGTATGAAAAAAGACTATGTGCCATCTATTTAAAATCAGAAGGATTGTAACATTTTAGCGCATAAGAAGAATATCCAGACTGACACAAAATTTGCTTGATGACAGTGGGGGAAAAGCTAGAAAAGCATTGTTGTGGGTAAGAACATCCAGACTTGCGCAAGAACGACTTGCCTCTGAATGGGTCTTGAAAATGTCAAGATGGTTGCATGATTACAGCGGGGAGAACAGCTGAATGAGCGCTGCGAGATTCAGCGTGTAATGTTTGAAAGTGTTGAGACTTACACAGAGAAGGTCGTCGCGAGATTCGGCGCGCAAGAAAAATGTTCAAACTTGCGCAGGGAAGATTGTCTGAGAGTTGAGGATGCCAAATTATGTGCGATCTATTCAAGATCAGAAATGGGCGTAAAAGGAAAACTTGCCTGGTCGGGGTAGAGAAAAATCTCAACAGGCATTGTGAGATTCAATGTTCAGATAGGGAGATTAGCTGATCGCAGCGAGAAAAACACTGAAAAGCGTTGAAGTGAGTGTGATGAACGACATGCATGTTGAAAATTGATAAAGAAGACCATCCTGCTCGATGCAATTCATGGTGCAGTTCCGCGCGAAGTGTAAAAGTCTCCGCAGAACTACATCGAAAGTTTCAGGTCCATATTCGATCAAGAGTGGGACGACGCACTGACGACTTCAGACATGGTTGGGCGATCATTAGGATCATGAGGGAACATCCACTCGAGGAGGTCGATGATTTCTGTTTCCGCAAGCCTGTGATAGATGATCTAGATGTTTCGTCAGTAGGCACGATGATTGGACTGCAAGGAGATAATCCACCCCTTGGCGCTTTGCTCCAACAATATAATACCAACAATATAATAAACACCATGTTCGTCCATGCCCTAGAGAAACACTTAGTACTGATAGAGAAAGAGAAAGATAACATACTCACTTCCCAAGGGAACTTCTTGTTTAGTAAAAGACGCATCTGCAACATCCTATAAGTGGGCGAGCAGAAAAGAAGGGGCGATTCGGAAGAGACAAACCATATTGTCGTCTTCTGTACAAGCCTTTCCAAATATGTTCTTTCAGCTTCCTTGCATCTACCCATCTGACATGCTTGGCACAATTGACAAATTCTGGTCGAACCCGCCACGTCTTTGCGTGGCAGCTAAGAGATTATGCTCTCTAGCATCCTGCAGCGCTGCATCGTCGCCATCAAAATCGTTATCAAAGCCCGGGTCATTGTCATAGTCGTAGTCATAGTCGAAGAACTGGTCACTGAAGGGTATATTTAGTCCATCGCCAGCTTGCGGAGCAATGAATTTAAAGCATGAGTACACGGTATTCTTACCTTCATCATTTTCAGCCGCAGCACGTCCTGCAGTGAGCCTCCGTAGTTGGGCAAAGTGATATCACCCCCCGGGTGACTTTCGCAAATATTTCATTTAAAATTGTCTTGATGTTTTTTTCAGCGGGCGTCAGGAAGCCAATCTTAAATTCCTTCTTCTCTCGCCGGGGTCATCACAGTAAAGAGAGGGTTACTGTCTTTGGCAAATGAGAAGTCGGCCAGTGAATGTGAGATCACCTTATTGTCGAGAGCATCTAGTAAGTCTGGAAATAAAAAAGGTGATGAGTATTTTGTCATACAAGAGAACTTCTCCAACATACCGCTTCCTTATCCTCCTCATCTTCCGCCACTCGGTTCATGCAATCACTCACCAAAGATGACACGCATGGCCACCATCACTTCCAACCCCCAAACCAAGGTGGTTCATTAGCAGGTACCATGCATCGCCCTCGTCGAAATCTTTACAAGTTTTGCAGAGAAGGAGATCAATGCTAAGGCCGAGTTCTAGCTTCTTGTTGTGTGTTACGTCGACTGTAGGTCGGCGTGTGCGAACTAGGATAGGTCTTCTCAGCGACGAGTCGAGTGACTCTACTGAAGCTGAGCGTGGTCTGACTTTGACGGAACGTCAAAGGTTCCTCCGGCGATCTCGGTAAGACGGCGCTCGTCGAGATGCAGGGCTAGCGGATACGTGCAGAGTTGTATGGGGACGACTCTGAAGTGCGGTCTCACACAAGGAAGCTTGTTTAGAGCTAAGATGAGCAAGTTCTTGGTAGAACCTAGTAGATTAAAGTGAAGTTCAATCTACAACAATGTGCCTACTTATACATAAGGTATGTAGGTGTTCAAGCTCAGTCTATAATCTATAGTATATCGCTAATCTAAGATAGCTAGACATGAGGTTAGATAGAGTACATGAGGCTTAGCCTCTGATCATACATGCAGCGCCAAGTGCGACTGCGCAATCAACAGGAGGCGCGTGGAAGCGCTCCAGGTTTCCTACATGAGGCGCCAAGGGCGCTCCGGATCTTCATGAAGCGACATGCTGTATACATGCGCTGATCTAGGGTGTCCATGAGGCGTACAGCCTCCATGGATCAGGTACAAGGCCGTCTAGGCCAGGGGCGGGGTCATAGCATCAGGCGGGGTCATAGTGCCATGAGGCGGGGTCATAGCGGTCCAGACCGCTGTCTTTCTAGGCGTAGGCGGCGCACCGCCGCGCGGGGAGTCTAGCAGAGCGGGGGCAGGTGTAGGGAGAGCTGGGGCTCTAGTAGGTGTTACAGATCCCTGTAACAGTTGTGAGGTTGTGAGGGTCGTTTAAATAAGCGGGCGATGGGTGGGCGATGGGCGGGCGATGTATTTTGTTTATTCACGAAACTTCTAGTTTCAGCATCACATTTTGTTGCTGGTGGAATCTTCAAATTTTGCAGGGCGTCTAATTGTTAAACACAACTTAGAATATTAGCAAACATGTGATCATATCCTAATTTTCAAAATTTGTCTCACATTTTATGTGAGAATGAAACTTCAAATTTAAGCACACACATAGGATATGATTATATTTCTTATTGTCGTTGACATGTTGTTGATGGGAATATGGTTGCGGATATTTGATGTTTTGGATTCCGTACGAAACACCGCCAAATTTTGAAGTTACGCATCTATCTTTATGTTATCTTAATTTTTAAATATTCTCTTTGCATTTAATACTACATATAAACCTCTCCTAAATATTGATAACCCCAATGTGCCGATCACACAGGCCCGGCCGGTTTTAATCCCGGCTCCGGATGTCTTAGTCATCCGTACTCATCCTTCTACTTTTTCGTCTCCATCCACATTTTTTTGACTTCATGGCATCTAGTTCATTAACATCGTCATCTTCATCGTGGCTTCCTCCAGCTTCTCTTGTTGTCTCGGATCAAAAACTCCGCGACGACGGGACGTCTGTGGTGTCATCCTGCGTTCTACGCAAGTATTTTGGGTTTTTCGAGATTTCTCGAGTGCGTTGAGGCAGTAAATAAGGTAGTAACCAGCCGTACACGCGAGTGACACTTTTGTTGATGTTGATTATGAGAGAAAGAGCACACAGAGCATGGCACAGTCTTGGTCCCGCGCTTACTACTTACCCCAAGTTTTTGTCCTCGGTAAGTTCACCACCATATCATGATACTTCGACTCCCAGTAGTCACTGGCACTGGTTGTGAACAGCAAACGAGCTTCGTCCAAGCCGCTGGGGTAGCCCGTATCATTGGTGCCCTGCAGCTGAAGTCAACAGTCTCCTTTTAGTGTTCTGAAATTTGCTAGGCCTGCAGCGGTCTAAACACCGCTGGGAAGACGAACATCTTATGGACCTTTTCAATACTGTTTAAGACTCTCAGTGTCTATCATATCTACTGGGAAGGCAATGGCCCGCGTCCCATCTGATCAGCTTATGCCAAGTCTAGATCACGGTGGCCTTCCGATGGGGTAGTTTACGAGAACGTTACCCCAGAGCCAGTGTAACATGATGCTGGTTCTTGCGTTCGCTTCAAGCACATAGCGGTGCTGGGACGTACAGCACAATTCTGGCAGATGGTTATAATTGGTCGATAAGACAGTGAGTTCAATTTCGTACTTCATACTAAAGTTACTGATAGCATCTTCTAGATTGTGCTACTTCAATTTGATTTTGTTAGCTGCAACACGATACCAGCATGCTATATTTGCGCGAGGTCTTCATGTGCATGAACGTTCCTGGGTATGCAACTTCACAAATCAGCGGTGCATCTACCATCCCTGCCGTCAACATGATCCTATCATCTATTATTCACGCACGAGATTCTTAAGACCAGCTGGAAGTCTCACAGAGATTATAAGATGCGGTCGAGTGCCTACTAATCAGACGCGATACAGATGCGGTGCGAAATCCGTGTCAACGCGTCGGTCTCGGCAGCTGGTTCATATCGATACGGGAAGTGCCGAGCCCTGGTGGGGTCTTCCCCCGAATCTTGGAAGGAGTTACTAGTTGGAGTCTGACCAGACTGAGAACTGCACAGCTCCGAACGCGTCATCATTGATCCATTATTTTGAATATACTCAACATTTATTTTCAAAGCTTCAATTGTAAAGCGATGTCAAGCTACATGCAGGGTCCAGCTGCTGTTTGCGTATGCTACAGCCGTTTCGGCTCGGAATCATTATCGTGTGTACACTAATCCAAGTGACCTGAATCTACGAGTACGAGATCGCGATTGCACACAATCAAGCTTCAAGCTTCAGATTTGGAGTTGGCATATCTTGTCGGGTTCTTATAATATACGCAAAGCTACTTGGTAATTGACGCATTTCGCAAACACAACAGAATGTTCAGGCTGCAAAACTCGATCGTTGTGATGAAATGAGTCGCTCTTCGTCAGTTCATGCACTCGACTCGTGCGTGGCAAACAACCCCTTCACAATTATCAAAATGTCCTGCAAGTGCACCCACTAACCTGCGAAGCGACCAAGCTGGACTGCCCTCAGGCTACTCAACTTGCGTGCATCGTGAACACAACCTCTAAAAAATTTCGCCTCCTTGTAGAGGGAGTCTCGTGCAGTTTCACTCGACAAGGCATGTGATCGTTAACGTTCATCGTGCACCTGCTGTCGTTGGTTTCCTGTCGCTCTCTACGATCTTGAGCCTAGATCATGTTGCGCTCATGGATCATATGTAGTACAGCCTGCATCCTATGTATTTGGTATGAGAAAACTATAGTAAGAGTACCGTAAGATGGAAACCCCTCATCCGTCGATTAACCCGGAGGCCCAAGCTTTATCCCACGAGGGTAAAACCTGTGTCAAGTGCGTCTGATCAGGCGTAACCTTGAAGGAAAGACCATCTAATACTTTCTTCTTATCCATCACAGAATCCAGCACTGCCATCCACGAGCAAGAGTTAGGGGGGTCCTGCTTGTACGGGGCAGCAGGCACTGTGAATCGCTCCACATGCACATCTACTTCCCTTGTGCGATCGATATATGAGTCGTTATCGTAGTGGGCAGTCAGATGCGGGTAAACTATTGAAAAGGTTTCAAGGTCTTTCATCCAAGCCCACGGAATGGCGCGTATCCAAATACGTAGCGGATGTTCTGGAGATAGTAGGCCCCTGCGGGTGTTACAAAAACTGTTTGAAGCCCCCTGCAAATTGGCGAGGCAAGTTATATGGGTGACCCATGTAGGGAAAATTAATCCTCTCAAAATGTTGTGGAAGACCTTGGCGTTGACATTGAGACGCGTTAATGTCAGACTTTTGGGTTTCCCAGGAAAGGGGGAGTGTCCGCTGGCATTGGGACCTGTATGGAAATCCCATGCATTTTGCACCCTATCCATAACACACAATAATTGGTAGGAGTTAATTGCAAGTGCCAGCGTAGCAAGTATCACTGGAACCAGCACGCCCATGTCCTGATCAAACGGAAAATTTCGAAGATACGCTATATAGAAGTCGTTAGTCTACATCGTCTGTGACTGTACATCAACGGGATAGTTACACGAGTCATCAATCCAAAGCCTCTTTATAGCGGAGATATAGTCAAAGACGAGATCGCTTTCTTTCTCAGCATACGCCTTCTGCACACGCAGAGCATTTTCAAACATATTCACGCTGTTGGGTCGGCGAAGCAAGATCGTGTGCAGGAATTCGGGGAGGATGGTGCGTCTCACAAGTCGAGAGACGAGACATAGGGAGACGGCAGTGGAATAGGGATTTTTATCATCATATTTCTCTTCTTGGGAAAATGTCGGCTTGGCCGCATATGTCAAGACGATGAGGGCAATCTCAATGGGAAGGTCGCTAATTGTAAAACGGATAGCAGGTTCCATGATGGGAGTGCAAGATGCTAACCTGGTTAGAACGAGTCCTGTCTTTAATACTTGCCTCATCAATTGTGACATTGCACCCACAACAAGAGATAATTGTGTGGGACTACAAGTTGTGACCGATGGCCCATATCACAGCTACTTATTATTCCTTCTACTAGTAGGTCGCAGAAATTCAACGTACTCTTGTCCTGCGGAGAATCCTATTTGGAATCCTCAAAGACCATCATAGTCATGATGCGAATGTGGCACGAACCGTAGAATGTACCTTCCGACCAGACTTGATGACGCGCATACGGACTCTTTCAAGTTCCGTCATGCTACAACCCGCCCAGCCTTTCGAGATTCAGCAGAAGATTCTACCAGGGCTCAGCACTTCCCCATGGACATGAGTACCAATGAGCTTTGCGAGAGGTCAGTAACAAACGACCGACACATTGACACGGATCTCGCGCCACATCGAGTCTGCATTGTGTCTGATTTGTAGGCGTTCGGCTGCATTCACGCGTTTCAGAGAGACTTACACTTGATCGTAAGCGAAGAATATTGTGTGTGAATAATAGATGATGCGATCACGTTGACGATAGGGATGCTAGATGCAAAGACAGTATTGTGAAGTTGATACCTCTAGGAGGAGTTCATGCTCCGACGTCACCCACATCACAAAAGGGAACCATTTTGCAGCTGACATAATCTCTAGGTCATGTCAGTAACTTTATGAAATAAGAATTGGGTACGAAATTGACTCTCCTATCATCCAATTACCATCAGCTTGCTGTATGCTACTGCACCGGATTCCATGTGTCCATGCTCTGGCTATATGCTCGAAGCGAATGTGCAGCTAGAACACAAGCACCGCTATCATGATATGCAGCCTGTCAGGTGTGGTTTTGGGGTCGATCGGATGTGTAACCCGTCTTCCAGGCCTGGCAAACCAGAGTACTTGTACGATCAAAACATCAGCCGCATGGTGCCATTGAATGATGCGGCCTGCTTCGATGGGGTTGCTGTGGCTGTGCTCGTTTGTTACTGGTCGAGGTGTGTCGGGATGAACGGGTCTAATAATTGTTTGGGAAACTGATGATAAGATCTGAGATTGGCTCTATATATGCAACGTAGTGGTGCTGATCCGAACCTGTATCTTTCGACGATACCACGAACGAATACCTGCAGGTCATGTGACTCAATGTTTGAATTTTGCCTTTGCGTTTATCGTTCGTCTCTATCCGATTACTCCAACACACGAAACGCAGGTAGAGCACATGTTGCATAGAACTTATCTCAGTTATCTGTGACCTGCGTTGTGTCAGCGTCTCGTGTCGGCAAGACATACCTTCGTCGACACACCATGACTCCACACTCTTTTACAGATTCAGCAACACCAAAAAAAATCCCTGCGACTGCGAGAGATTGTGCAAGAGCCAGCTGCACTAAGTACCCCGGATCATGATCCTGGTATAGAGGTTCGTTTTGCTGTTTCTTGTGCTTATGATTTCAATTTATCCGTACAGGAGAACCATTTTACAGATTACGATGCCTCTGGAGACATTCCCTGCACAGCGATAGATGGTCCGCCATCTCATCTCACTTCCTCAACATGTGATTCTACAATGATTTCCGTCCCCAAATCCACCGCTACCACACCCTAATGACAGCGGTGTTCTCGCATCCCTACATGTGGATGAGCGTGCCCTTACGGAGGATTGTTTACGCACGTGAAGCGTAATGATCTTCGTCACTCCCTTACGTTTGTCTTGTAGATGCAAACAGCCGGTCTAGATGACGAAGACACCGGGCTCAGCACAGAAGCAGTCACACAACCCAGATTCCCACTGCAGTTTACACCTTCGCTTCAGGGTATCCACATTCCCCGCTGTCGAGCTCTACCTTTCACGTCCAGCTCTAGAAAAGGATGCGCAATATAATCATAGAGCTTTACGGCCATGTGCTGGCATTCAACGCTATGTCTCGCAATGTTGTCGACGCCTTTCGAAATAGCTGGATCCAAGGCATACAGTCACACATCTTTCAAACTAGTGAGTCTTGGCTTGCACCGCGAGTCCTTATACTGATCGTGTTCTTGCCAAAGCATGCTGTTTTGTATGTTCGAGGCGCAGGGTCATGTACTTCATCACTTACATCTCGACGGTTGAAGCTATATGATCTCAATGCGATCTCGATACCATTAAAAAACACCAGGGAGTTCACTATGAACCGATAAGGAGCCAGCCTAAACGATATCACTCATCACCGTAGGAACCAGCAATGGGGGGAAGAGTCGAAGGAGGGCTGGGTCAAACGGTGGCACATACTGCGACTCTTGAGGCTGCAAGAAGTTTGTCCATTAATATTGTGCTCATGAGCGGATATCCAAGGGTTTTTGGGGCGGATTTCATCGTAATCCAGTGAGACGTACGCCAGCCCTGAGAATATTTGCGTATGTTGACCGGTACGTCTGCTTTGATACCTGACAATATATGCGCCAATTTATAAAGTATGATAAACAGTCGAACTCATTCGCGAACGTGTATCAAACCTGCCCCAAGCTCCTGTGACCCGCTACGTCTGCCTTTCCTTCAGTACCAACGAGCGTGATCGACATTCGAGTTTAGCCAACACACGGCACCTAATTGTCCCTCAGTTCATACCCAGAACCACCATCTTCTGGGAAAACTCCGTATCTGCAGACCCTGTCGAGCAGCCCGGGATGTCACACATTCCAGGGGCCGTCTCACATACCGACATGCTCTCGTTTGCTCTCAGACATTTCAGGGATCAACCATGTAGAAGATCGAGCTCACCTACTAAGATTTCTGATATCAATGCTCTCAGCGAGATGGGTATAGGGAAGAGCGAAATTCTGTCATGTCCGTCGTATTCTGATCATTCATCATAGTTCATATCCCTATCAATGTTCTCATTATTTGGCGTCATTTGTTGTGTAATCCTCGTGCTTTCAACTTATCGTACGAACGATTTAACAGCTGCAACTTCGTGTCTATTGAGGATATAATCAGTGATCTGATGCAGGGAGATAGATAAGAGATAGACGCCGTGTGTAGCTGTTGTGCCACAAGCCATATCTCGCCGCCACGACCTCGTTATGTAGCACAGTACAGCTTTCACGATAAACCAAATCACCTCTACTTCAGAACGCATATCAAGATCTCCCAATGGCAACCATCGAAGCCCAGGACCTCAGAAGGATGATAAGCCGCTTTCGAGTTCTGATCATGGGGAGAGCAAACGCAGGCAAAACGACCATCCTTCAAAAGGTCTGCAACACCACGGATCAACCAGAAATTTACGATACAGAAGGAAACGAGGTGCGGGTGATGATCTATGCCATACACGCGTCCATCGCTGATCAATCGCGGGTAGATCGATGCTGCCATCGTGGAATCGTCGATCAAGGTGGGTGTATCATTTGCCCTGTGGGCATCCATCTGCTGACGCATGCTCAGCGTGGAAATCACAACATCATGAACGAAATGGTGTTCAAAAGTAATCCCACTTTTGTCTTTCATGACTCGTGTGGTTTCGAAGCGGGGTCTGAAGAAGAATTCGAAGACATGAAGAAATTTATCTCAGAACGTGCACATGCGACAGAATTAGAGGACCGAATTCATGCTATCTGGTAAGTAGCCCCCTTTCGACGTTCTGCACTTTTGATTGCCTTTAGGTATTGTATTCCGATGGACGAACATTGTCGAACATTTCAGCGGTCAGAAGAGAAGTTTTTCCAGGAGTGTGACACCGGGCATGGTGAGCTTGCAACTTCATCGTCAGTTGCCATGCTGGGACTGAATGATCGATCTTCAGCTCCTGTGGTCGCAGTGTTCACCAAGTTCGAAGCTCTGCGTCCAGTCGCGTATGGTGAAATCAAGAAGCAACTACAAGGGGCATCGGGCGAAGAGCGCTCAAAGAGGATTGCTGAGCGCGTCGAGGAACTGTTCAGTAGCACAGGTGTCTTGGATCGGTTGTATAACCCCGAAAACCGTGCGCGTCCCAAGTCCTATGTACGCTTGCAAAGTAAGTGGTTCAAATCGATTTGTCCCATGTCAAAGTTGACATTAGCAATTGTCCTAGATATGAACAAACAGAGTACAAACTGCGACACTCTACTGGAAAGCACCACTCTCGCACTGGACAACGAAGAATTACGGTTGTGCTTGGTGTCGACACAAAAATCAAACCTGGAGCTTTGCATCAAGTGCGCTATCGTGTGAGTCTCATATTTGCAAGTCATGTATTTTTATTTCAACATCACCTAGAACACTCGTTTATAGTGCACATAAGCAAATTGATTATGAAGGCTATCAGTATAGCATTGCTAAGTGGTTTCCACATCTCAAAGTGAGACAAAGATTGATTCAATCTGAATATTCCCTGGTAATGGTGCTCACGATGGTAAATATCGAAACAGTGAAACTGTAGACATTCTGATATACTTTCCTTCATTGTAGTTATTTATTGAAAACAGCTGGTAAGATCGTGGCTTACGAAGCTACGCAGGGACAACGCTGATGCCTTGCTGCTGCTCGCCTGTTGACAGCATGTAAGTGCCTCGATGATTTCTAGTCCTCGACCCATGCTCATGATCCCCATTCCTCGCTGCTGCTCGCCTGTTGACAGATGGTAAGTGCCTTGATGGTTTCTAGTCCTCGACCCATGTTCATCTCTCGCTGCTGCTCGCCCGTTAACAGTTCGTAAGTGCCTTGATATTTTCTAGTCCTCGACCCATGCTCATGATCGCCATCCCTCGCTGCTATTCTCCTGTTGACAGCATGTGAGTACCTTGATGGTCTCTGTCCTCGACTCATGCTCATGATCCCCATCCTTCGCTGCTGTTCTCCTGTTGACAGCATGTGAGTGCCTTGATGATGATTTCTAGTCCTCTACCCATGCTCATAATCCTCATCCCTCGCCACTGCTCTCCTGTTGACAGAACGTGAGTGCTGTGATGGTTTCTAGTCCTCGACCCATGCTCATGATTGCCACCCTTCGCTGCTGCTCGCCTGTTGACAGGACGTAAGTGCCTTGATGGTTTCTAGTCCTCGACCCATGCCCATGATTCCCATCCCTCGCTGCTGCTCGCCTGTTGACAGATCGTAAGTGCCTTGATGGTTTCTAGTCCTCGACCCATGTTCATCCCTCGCTGCTGCTCGCCTGTTAACAATTCGTAAGTGCTTTGATATTTTATAGTCCTCGACCCATGCTCATGATCGCCATCTCCCGCTGCTGTTCTCCTATTGACAGCATGTGAATGCCTTAATGTTTTCTAGTCCTCGACCCATGCTCATGATCCTCATCCCTCGCTGCTGCTCGCCTGTTGACAGTGCGTAAGTGCCTTGATGGTTTCTAGTCCTTGACCCATGTTCATGATCGTCATCCCTCGCTGCTGCTCGCCTGTTGACAGATTGTAAGTGCCTTGATGGTTTCTAGTACTCGAGCCATGCTCATAATTTCCATCCGTCGCTGCTGTTCGCCTGTTAACAGCGGGTAAGTGCCTTGACGGTTTCTAGTACTCGAGCCATGCTCATAATTTCCATCCGTCGCTGCTGTTCGCCTGTTAACAGCGGGTAAGTGCCTTGACGGTTTCTAGTCCTCGACTCATGCTCATGATCCCCATCCCTCGCTACTGCTCGCCTGTCGACAGTATGTAAGTGCCTTGACGGTTTCTAGTTCTCGACCCATGCTCATGATTGTCATCCCTCGCTGCTGCTTGCCTGTTTACAGTATGTAAGTGCCTTGACTGGTTTGCTGTCTGCAACTCATGTGGACAGGTCTTACATCTTACTGTTTTTTTTGGCAGGTGGTGTGTCTTGATCATATCTTGTATTTAGATGATGCTGAATAGTGTAATGATGTTCACTCGTTTTCATAGCCTAATGTAAGCGCGTTCTATTCCATCAGATGAGTCGAATCATCATTGCTCATATAATGCTTAGTTCGTTGAGTATCCCTCCTTGATCACTTATTTTCCATGTTCATTCATCTTGCATGTTTTCGTGTCCTGTGCAGAGTGTGAGTCATTTGACCTTCATAGTGCGACGCGTGCAATCTCTCAATCATTTTGACTGACTCCGTCTATCTGTAGGCTGTAAGTCTATTTCAATCGTCAATGATTTTAGCCAGATAATCTCTTGCCTCTTCTTCACGTGTTCACAGAATGTGTGTTAATCATATCCTGTCTGACATCATATTACTCCACTGACAGACGCTCTTATCTAGCTCGTACGTCCATGAATGGTATTCGCCAATATATAGTGATACTCATCTGGTTCCAACCCCTGACAGTTTGTAAGTTATCTGAGCACAGCAGTCATTGTCTACAATCTGGTGTTTGATTATTCACAACTGTTACGTCGACCAAATAGGATGTGCGTCTCTGTTATTAATCAAATGCCAATTTTCCACCTCATAATTCTGATATCCCTTTCCCGCAGGGGGCAAGTACTTTCCTCCGTGGAGTTGATTCTGATACTCATACTTTCAACCTGTGGCTAGGCCAAAACCTTCCGAGATGATATCATCCGCGTCCTTCAGCCCTTGGTAAGTTGACTTCCCTCCGCATTGATTCCCAGCACTATACGAGTGTGCAACAGGCTGTGAAGGGTTCACTGTCCACTTCTGCTGCGAACAGAATAATTCAGACTGGCATCGGTTAGTTTCTTGCCACACGACCGGTTGTAGTCCTAATAACAGGAAGCAGCCACCATTATCGTCCTCGAGTACTCTGCATTTCTCTTGAACGAGTTGGAGGGCTCGGAGCTTGTCGAGTCTGCCGTGGACTACTACCTGAAATCTCCGACGGCTGCCGCAGTGGAGAAAGAAGCGAAAGAGATTTGTCGTCAAGGCTACCACGGAGAGGAACTGGGAAAGAAGATTCTTGAGTTCATCCTTGAAAGTCGCTTGTGTACGT